AAATCATACCCGTTTTGGTTTTCATTCTTCATTCCTTACTTTCGTTACAGTCTATTTTTCGCTTAATTCAATAGACTGAAAACCGAAATTTTAGTCTGAACTGCTCTTTTCCAGATGTTTCGACATTCTGTAGAAACCCTAGGCTCTGAGCTCATTTTAAAATCACAGATTTCAGTTGGCTATTCGCATTTCGTTCGAGCTCGTGTGGCCCCAGGATCTACTTCGATTCTGGAAACGGCAACCAACATGCTTGAACCGCATTCGGTCATTCTTCAATTATTATAACTTTATTTTGTTCTTACCCACCTTCGGTTGATCATGGATTTACTTTGAAAATAATATTTAGGTGTTCTTTGACGCGTTAGAATGGCAATCTGGCACTCGATTAATCGGATGTTGTAGTGATCGCACAGGGGCGCGGCAATGCCCTTTTGCCACCCCGGTGGAAGCAGGAGTACTACTGTGGCAAAGTGCCAGTTTTGATTGTCCCGCCTATACGGTAAAGGTGAGTGGTTCCTATTACTGCATTTGGGAGAAATTTGGAAAATATTTGGTTCCTGTTGAAATTGACTGGATTTATCGGGTGGATTAAACTAGTGGAAGTGCTGACATCCTGGGCGTCTGAACTCGATAGGGCCCAGGCAACACAGGTATGGGAACTTTCCTAGTCGCCAAATAGCGCTACCCCTATGGAATTGGACCCAACTACGCTACTCACGGAAATGATTTTCTTAACAACTCCATAGCGGGATGTGCCCTTGAAGGTAGCGATTCAAACCGTCAGAAGCTCGAGGATCGAGACTTACTCTATCCACTGACTACGAACGAGTTTGCGGCGTAGATGCTGGCCGTTAAGCTTAGTGTACCCCTATAGAATAATGCTCTGAGAAAAACAATCGTTGCAATCGTTCCTGAGTTTTCGCAATAGTTCTTCTTTTATCATACTTTTGCCTTCCAGGCACCATTCCGTACACGGCAAAGAGCGCGGGTGTGAACGTTCTGCAAACGAACAAAAATTAACAAAGAATGCTTTTTAATGTTAAACAACAGTTTGAGGCTCCAAAATTTATTTCAAAAAGCTTCAAAAGACTTAATTTCAAAAGCTTTCCAAAACGTTTGCAATATTTCGGTGCCTAGCACCTTCGTCAGGCCTGAAATAGCTTTTTCAGCTTTTTGAAATAAATTTTGGAGCCTCAAATTTTGTTTAACATTTAGATCCTTATGAGGCTTCGGGACAGCACCATACTAAAGAAGAGAATGCTTTTTGTTCAAATGCTGTTCGGTAACATCGCAAATCGGATATTTTCACAAAGGTTCTGAGTTGTTGTCAAATGAGCCCTCTCGGCTGGGACTTAAACTCGGACCTTATGCTTAGCATCCATCACACTATTTCAGTACCTCATCTAAGGTTTTCCCTAAAAGAGGATTTAATGACGAAAAGGCAGGCCAGTGGAAATTAAGCTAGGGTGGACGCGAAAGAAGAAAAGGCCAAGAAAAATGGCCTAGGGCTCGAGAAATGGGCCAACTTCCCTGCCGCTGATTTGCGCATCGATGCGATTCTCATTGGTGCTGTTCTCTTCAGCGCTAACACTCTCTTTGCTATACGGCTAGAGACTCAGGCACAAGACGACGCGAGGGCTCACAGCGCGCCGATTGCGCTGTGAGGAAGGAACGTTATGCTAGATCGCCGGTGGCATCCTTCGATGTGAATTAAGTGTTCGTATCCTTAGGGGTCCCCCTGTCTCCCCATTTGGTAAGTTTCCCTTTTTCGACCTTCAATCTTATCGTGGAACCCCCTTTCAAGCATGAGTGGTTTATTTACCACAACTCATCATTGACACGTATGACGTAATGTCTCGAAAGCCGATTTTGGCAGTGAAACCTTATGCTGGGGGCAGCAAGCTACGCTGAATGTCTGCTGCTTATCCACTAAAGCCGCTAAGCTGGAGCCTTAGATGATAGCGGAAGTCTCCAGCTTAGCAGTTTACTGATATCAGCTAACCTACTCATTACATTATTTGCGTGATTGTGATAAGCTGTCCCAAATATAGCGTTAGAGCTGAGGGATAGCAGCGCGTAGGGTCTTAGAGTGTGAATAATAGGTCTCTGCTCGTTTCACATGTGGTTCGGGTTCGAATGTGAGCGGAAATGACGGGTTTTGCGAATATTTGCAACCTTTGATGAATAACCAATTACGTCTGCTTCTCCACAACTTTCGCCTTCTTGTTGGCCTTGAAAACATAGTAACATGTCTTGGTGAACTGCCAGATGAAGGACGGCAGCCTATTTATGGGCAACCAATTCTAGCTATAAGGCCGATGTCAGACTTTGCGAATCGCGCGAATCGCTAGTAGCGAATCGCGCGATTCGCAAAGTCTGACATGGGCCTAACAGATATGCCCATATGTTTTCATTTCTCTTACCTCAATTCCTGCCTCCGCTCATGATCTGCGTTTTTTATCATTGTAAGATACTTCTGCCATTTTTCAGATCAGCTTTATCTGCGAGAATTTTGGTGTTGAAGATGGCGAATGTGGCCTCGACAGTGTGCGATTACACCGGTTGTCGGACACCTTCCTTCTCGAGCCTTGTCAGAAAAACATCTTATCATCCATTTAATCTGTTCTCCTTGCAATCATTACTTCTTCTCATGAACCGCCAGCAGCAATGGTTGTTTTTCGATTTCAGTGGAGCTAAAATGTTGTGCAAATCTTCGATCTTCCTCTTGACCTTCCCATTTTTATGTGTACATTGAGTCTTTCCCTGATATTTATATTTATGTGCTTGTCAGAAATAAATTGATTAATTAAACCTATGACGTAAGAAGGGGATTTATAAACATATCTCATCTGACGTGCATGCACGATGCTGTGAAAATAAATATGGTGTCTGCATCATTTTTTAGTTTCTCGATGATTTGCTTTGGGTTGCGCCAAATTCTGAGATGTCAAGAATCCCATCAAGGTTGAAAGTAATTTTGATCTTTCGCTATATTTGTTCAAAAATTTTCAAGACACGCTTTTGACGAAACAGCAAAATATTGGGCCGAGAAGGATGGTCCAAAGTATACATTTTACTCCCCTGGTGAGTTCGTCTTTGCGTGTGAGCTCTTTAAACGGATAATGCTTTTTCCAAACTTTCATACATATCACTATTTAGTCCCTCATCTAGAAGAGTGCGCCAAAATTACTTGCTCAAAGTTAGAGCGTTTGTTCTGTAGATATTCGAAGTGAGCCGAGTTCCCAACATATCATATCTTGAAAGTGAAAAGAACCTGTCGACTTCAACTCATGCGGGTGCTGTTTCCCATCACCAGCTTGGCTGCCTGCCACTATCTATTCTGTAGCGGAATTTCTTATTATTGGAGGAGATTACGAGGAAACTCATTTTCCAATCGCCCGCTGGG